TTTTTGTATTTTTAGTAGAGATGGGATTTTGCCATGTTGGCCAGGCTGGTCTCTTAACTTCTGGCCTCAAGTGATCTGCCTACCTCAGCCTTCCAGAATGCTGGGATTACCTGCAAGAGCCACCATGCCAGGCCAGGTTTCTATTTTATAGAGGAAAAATGAAGGCTCAGAAAAGTGACAAGCAGATTGGGCATGGTGGCTCATGCCTGTAACCGCAGCACTTTGGGAGGCCAAGGCGGGAGGATTGCTTGAGCTCAGGAGTTTGAGACCAGCCTGGCCAACATGGCAAAATCTCATCTCTACTAAAAATAAAAAAATAAAATAAAGAAAAAAGAAAGTATTAGCTGGGCATGATTGCACGAGTCTGTAGTCCCAGCTATTTGGGGGATCTGAGGCAGGAGGATCACTTGGGCCCAGGTGATGGAGGCTGCAGTGAGCCAAGATTACACCACTGCACTCCAGCCTGGGTGACAAAGTGAGACCCTGTCTCAAAACAAACAAACAAACAAAGAAGTTACAAGCAATTTCAGCAAGGTCACATAAAACCAAAAACATACTGACATCCCAAAATGTGGCAATGGTTAAACTAGACTAGCCTACGTGACACTAATAGGACACAAACATACAAATGCACTGCAGCATAAATTTATCCATTCACTCCATTAATATAATTAATTGCCTAATTTGTGCCAGATTCTGTTTTAGGTGCAGGAATATAGCAATGGACAAAATAGACAAATATTCTTGGTCTCATGGAGCTTGTATATAGACAGTAAACAAGTAATTTGTTTTCCTAAGACCTATGATCTCAATGATAAGCAAGTAAATTAAATGGCATGTCCAATGTGGTAAGTGCTGCAGAGAAAAAGTAGGCAAGCAGGATGGGAGTGTGTGTAGGGGAGGGGAAGGTGGTGGTTAAGAAATGCTCAACGAGAAGGGTTTTTTGTTGTTGTTACTGTTGTTTAAGAGACGGGGTCTTGCTCTGTCACCCAGACTAGAGTGCAGCGATGTGTTTATGGCTCATTGCAGACTCAATCTCTCGGGCTCAAGTGATCCTTCTGCCTCGTCTTCCCAAGCGGCCAGAACTACAGGTGCACACTACCATACCTGTTAGTTTTTAAATTTTTCTGTGGAGGCAGTCTTTCTTTGTTGCCCAGACTGATCTGAAACTCCTGGCCTCAAGTGATCCTCCCATCTCAAATCTTCCAAAGTGCTGGGATTACAGGCATGAGCCACTGTGATTGGCCCACAAGTGACTTTGAGTGAAGGAGATCGGGGATGACGCCATGAAGACATCTGGGGAAAGAGCCTCTTAGTGAGGGGAGCAGCAAGGGCCAAGACGAGAGCATGCCTTGGCTCACTGCAGGCTCTACCTCCTGGGCTCGAGCCTGAGATGAGAGCATGCCTGGTGTGTTTGAGGAGTTCCCAGCAGGCTACAGTGATGAAAATAGAGCTAATTAGGAGGAGGATTGTTGGAGATGAGGCTGAGAGGCAACTGGGGTGGTGGTGGATGAGCAGATCATGTTGGACTGACCTTATAGTGCTCTGAGAGGTCTTTGGCTTTGCTCTGAATGGGAGATGATCCAAACCACAAATACAGAAGATGATTCTGGTCATCGCATTTAAAAGAGACTGTAGAAGTGCGGGGAAAACAGCAGTAGAGATGGGCAGCTCCTGCAAGAGCTGATTTGGAGTAAGACATGTGTGATAGCAGTGAGAGTAATGAGAAGTGATCAGCCACCACACATACTTTGAGGCAACTATTATGTACGCTGATATTGAACAATTTCTAATAAATATTAGCAAGTGAAAAAGCAAGTTGCTGGACCTGGGATACTGGGTACACACAAAAAAAGTAGGTTCCAAAATAGCCTATGTGGTATGTCATGTGATTTTTAATGAAAAATTTAAAGTGTGTGTGTGTGTGTGTGTGTGTGTGTGTGAGAGAGAGAGAGAGAGAGAGAGAGAGAGAGAGAGAGGGAGAGAGAGAGAAAGGAACTGGTAACAGGAGCTATCTTGGGTCAACTTGCTGTCTCAGGGAAATAGCAAGATGGAGATTTCATTTCTAGGATATTCCCTTCACAGAGTGAGACTTTAATGCATCGTAGATAGCCTTCTTTGGGTCTTTAAAATGTTCTAAAAATTAAATTGAGATGGCTGTACAACTCTGTGAATATATACTAAACATCACCAAACTATACACTTTCAATGGATGAATTTTATGGTTGATAAAACATATCTCAATAAAGTTATTGAAGATACTAAATAGCAATACTTCAGTTTTATGGATCCAATCCCTTGTCTTCCTTCATTCTCTTAGATGACTAAATAGTCCTTTGGCAGGCATGTTAAACAAGGCTTTAATATGACATCAGAAGTACATATTGTCTGCTTTACTTTATTGTTATTTACAAATTTGGGGTAATTTTTCTTGACTGGAATGTGGCAGAGCAGGTATAAGCTAGAATCCAAATTGTAGAGAGCTTACAAATGAGTAGAACACACATGGAAGAAACAGAAGAAAACAGGACAAGTAAATACATGGTAGGGTGATAACAAATTAGTTGAATGAATGGTGACCCTAATACCCTTTACCACGATATTCAAAACCAACAATAATTGTTTCTTAAGAAGAAAAATGATCAAAACTGCAATTCTAAAGACAGTTTTTCGTACA